TTAACTTTAATAATTTTATTTTAAATATTATTTTAATATAACTTCAAAATCTTAATAAGAACTAAGCATACAAACTTTTTTAAAATTAATTATGGTTAATAAAAAAAATTCATTTTAAGCGGATATATTTACCCACCCTAAAATACATAACTTTATGTATCAACAAGTACACACTTGGCAGTTCAATAAAAACATTTAATACTTTAAAACATAAAGAGAGAGTAAATAAACTCTTGGTGGATGAAAAATATATATAGGTGTTTGGCCCTTGAAAAGCCAAATTCACAGGCAAAGGAGTGGATACAAATGCATACAATTAAATACACATAGAAGAACCATAATAATCATAATAGTAATAATAATAAAAAAGAAACAAACCCATGTTAAAACGTTTGTGATTAAAGAAAAATACATGCTATGAGGATCAATGAGTGAAGTAGTAGAGTATAGAGATGAACATGGGACTTGGAGAATTCCGAACTGTTTATAAAATCAAAGCATCATCACTCTAAATAAAAAAATAATCGTTGAACGTTTGTCTTTTTCTAAACTAAACTGAATTGGAAAATAATTAGTTTCATATTGTAGATTTTGCAAATGTCCGTTCTCGGTGAGTTTGTTCACGACCGGTGAGTGTGTTCTCTCTAGTTGCGAGTATGCAGACTCTCTCGGACCGCGTGGGCGTTGTCGAGCGCCACACAGGCAACAATGCGTGAATCATGTGGGCATCTTGCGGCGAGGCCTAGTGATGGATATAAAGGTCTTGGTGCCCATGGATGAGAAGGGTGAGCATGGAGACGACCCGGGAAGACCGCACGAAGGCCCAACAAAGCATGCACCAGGCCTTGGAGACGTGCGCGAGCACCAGGCAGCAGGCACGGGTCGACCCAAATGCACCAGCAAAGACCCGCGCCTTGGCGCTGGCACAAGCAGAAGTGACCGGAGTGCAACAGGGCAACACACGAGTAATAGCGCGGGCACAGACGCAAGAATGGCATTCGTGGGCTTGGCGAACATTTTCCCGGGCAAGGAGGAAACTCGTGACCACTGGGTAAACACTCGCGACTTGGGCAAGATTATTCGCGGGCGCGAGCTGGCAAAGACGCGCGCTAAGCGGGAGTGCACGAAGCGCGCGAGCTAGCGTCGCGGGCGCACTGGGGCAAAGCAGCGCGTACGCTAGTAGACACCGAGAGACCTGACAATGCAGGAGCGCGAGATACACTGGCGCACACGAGTACGCGCGCGCGACCAAGTTGACCAGGCATAGGCGCACGTACGTGGATGACTTGCGGGTCAAGTGACGACACTTCTCTAACACCCAAGGTTTTTTATACTGTTCGAATGGATGTGACAAATTTCATGATATTTTATTTTAGTGGGAGTCTGTATTAATTTTATTGTTCTATATACTTACTGTATTTGTGTGTTTGGATATTTTTTTATCAGATATAAAGTATTCAGTTTTTTGTACTCTTGAAATTTTAACTTTATATTGATGTCACTAAGAAATAAAGTGGCCAATTGAAAATAAGCATGAAAGATCACATTACATGTAATTTTCATCCTACACTTCCATGGTTGACCTATGTCATTTAATTGTATTGGTATATGTAAATTCACGATTAACATGATGAAAACCTCTTTAGTCCTAAGCCATTACGATTAATGGACGAGACTAGTAAATGATACTCTTGTATATGGCAACAAAATTGAGCTCATAAAGTAGTACACAATTGTTCGGTTGTATAGGTAGTCCAAGTGGAAGATTAATAGAAATATTTTACTTGGACCACATATGTAAATTAAATCTTAAAAGTTGTCATAATATAATTTGATTAATTACTGTTTATAATTTTGAATAAAGAGAATATCAAATTATTATGGATTTAAAAGTGTAGATACCATTATGATTTTTTTGGTATCTCAAGGATCAAACTGAAAACTAAAAGAATTGCTTACCTGGTAATGGCCCTAAGTGAAAAAACAAATTTCTGAGTATGTGTCTTTTCCCTTAAAGGCACCGTGTAGTACAACATATATGTGTGTTTTGTACATAATTTTCGTACATACGTATAGAATATATCTGCAAAACATATATGTTGTTTCTATCGTTTGAAAGACTACACCAAACCAACAAATTGAAGAACATAATAATTCTCAAAATAATGAATTAAGGTACGCTTTCACTTTAGTTGTTGATTCTTAATTATTTGACATGAATGATTTTGGGATTAGATTAATTTTCTTTTTTTTTTTTATATATTACAACATTATTNATCTAATCCAAAAAAAAAAAAAAAATGATTTCGTACGCTCAAAATGAAATGGCGATCTGCTTTTTGTACTCTCTAAAAGAAGGCAAACGGTGAAATGACAATTGTTCACCACCAGAAGACATAGTCTGAAACCCTTCCTCTTTCCCCAATTCCATGAATAGTAAACCCTTCCTCTTTTTCCCCTTTCTTCTGCGCGCGCCTTCATTATAGTAAACCCTTCCCCTTTATTGATCAGCTCGTTAAAAACTCTTTAGTTAACGATTTGGTTTCGACTTGGCTTGTTAATTAAGGCTCGAAAATAAAAGTTCTTATATAAATTTCTATCTATAGTCCGCCTGATTATAGCTCGAGCTTGACACATTAATATTGATAAACGAGACGACCTCGAACCCAAATATTAGCTTGTTTAGTTATCGAGTCGAACTCGTCTCGTCTCGTCTTGTCTACACGCTATGCCCCAACTTCTGCATGATGCGTTTTTCTTGTATTTGACCTCATTTGACCAACGGTTTTCGCCTTCAATTTTTATTTCTACAAGATTCATACAAAAGATAACTGGACTCCATTTTATAGGATGCAATTAACCTTCCGTAATGATAGGCATTGGAGTGTAAGCTTACAATACGCCAGGCAAGCAAAAGAACACACGTCACCACACACACACAGAAGAAAAAAAAAAAGGACTGTTAAGAAATCGAATGTGTTTATATCACACAACAAAATTAAAACCTTTACTATTACATAATAACAAAGGGTACTCAAAACATCATCAGGGGCAAGTCTATACAAATATTACATGGTTCAGAAATTGAATGTTTTTCCCTCCCAAAAAAAAAATAAATAAATAAATAAAATGAAAATATTATTCAAAACTTGGCCCTCTTCTTGGCGCGATTCTTGTCCAAAGGCCGAGTGTTTCTGTAAATATCGGCTAGCGATCGGAGTCTTTTTCCTCTACGAGGCAAAGCTTCACCGGACGCGCTATTTACCGACTCAATTAAACTTCTGCCGGCGCTATTTCCTTCTTCCGATTGTGTGTCCCGCAATCCATCTTTTTCCGCCGGAAAATCGACCCACCGGACAGGGAAGCCGCTGAGTTGGATGAGCTCTAAAACTGCGCTCATTTCTAGTTCAGTAAGGCCCCATTCCATTTTCACGGTTTGTCTTATTAATTTTCCCTCTATTTGTACTTCACAATGAGTTGCGATTATTTATTTGTGTGTACCTTTTCCTCATATTTATAGGGAAAGGGAATTGGGGATGGTAAAACACCAGGAATTTCGGGCCAATAGGATGAAATTACGGTTGTGCCCTAGGGGAGTTCCTTGTCGGATTTTCTATTTTGCTGTTTAACCGACTTTTAGTGAGGAGAAAATTGTAATTCCCCGTGTAAAGTTGGTCATATTTGTCAATAAACAAAATATTTTATTGGTGCCATCTTTAAATAACCGCCTTTAAGATTTGTATACACCATCCTTTTCCTAGTCGGAGTAGGAGAAGCTGAGAGCAATAAACACAACGGAAAAAAAGATTCTAACAGGCCACGTGTCTTTATCTAGAATCGCCATATATCTATTGAATAATTATTTTATTTTCAACTTATTAAAGACCCGTAGTATTGTTGTATCTAGACTACATTGTGTACACCTCCTATTTCACCTAGTTAGTCAGTTGTAATTATGTGTTTTAATTAATGAATATATCATTTCAACCAAAAAAAAAAACTTAAAAAGTTGAATCTCATTTCTCTCATTATTACTTCTAATATTAATTTCGTTAATTTTATTTTCTCTACATTTTTCTTGACCAAATGGGTTTTACTTATTTTCTTCCATCTCACACATTGAATCAAACTAAGTAAATATATTTGACATATAGTTGCTTCCATGATATAAGTATCGATTGTCTATGAAAGTGATCTACCAACAATTTTGGTTTGGGTTTGTTTCTCTTTGGATCTTCGAATCGTGGATAATATTTTCGTTCAAGTACTTAAAAAAGTGTCGGGAAGATCTCTACGTAGAGCCTCTAAAGATCAAGTCAGTCCTTCATATATGATGCGTATATGAAAATAACGAACAGAGTGATTATGACAACAATCATACCTCTAACTTTATATATGAGAGTGATTACCTTGTTTTCCAAGAGTTTCATCTCGTAGATGTCCGGCAGTTAACGCCTTCGCCAATTTACTAAGTCGACCCAAGATCACCCACTAGAATTAGATATTCTCTCGTACTAGCTTGTTGCCTGAGGTCTCAGGTCTTATAGGTCGTAGGTCAATAACTCGACCTAGCGTCCTTTGGAACTCACATCGACCTACTCGACCTATCTAAAGTAATCGGCTAAAAGTTCAGAAGATGTTGACAAACAAATGAAAGAGAAATGAATAGCTTTTGCTCGGTATACACACCCCTTCCCAATAATTACGGCACTCGTCAATGATAGATTTTGGTGGAGAATTTAAACATTTACGGCTGCCCAAACCATAGAACATGCATTATTACATGTTCTCCCACTTTCCCAATCATTGATACCATTTGCCCTAAAATCACGTCTCTCGAGTCTCTCCATCACATAACAAGACA